CTGGCAACTACAGGCGCCGAAGCTGGGTGATACTGAGGTTTAGGGCCTAGGGTTTTAGGATGAGGGTTCAGGAATTCGGGTTTGGGGGATTAGGGTTTAGGTTTAGGGATTAGGGATCTAAAAGCTAGGTCCCCCAGAGTAATATGTGGACTTGTGTAGGAGCTACATCGGGATGACTGTGTGTATATGAGGGGCCTAGTTTGTAGATTTCTTTGGCAATTTGGGGGATCTGAGAAGGGGCCAGACTTTCTATAGAAGCTTGAGGATGCAGTTTTACGGGGTATATAGGGACATTTGGGGATATATAGGGACACACTGAGTTGGGGATTCAGGAAGTTATGGAGAACCAAATTGCAAAGAAAAGGAAAATTCACAGAGACTAGAAAGAAACAGGATTGAACTTTGGGTTTACCCGCTGTTGACTGTAGAGGCCTTGACGCGGGATGTGTCGGAAGGGCGGCTGAAGGGTTCGATCGTAGGACGATTATGGGCCCCTCGAACATGCACACCGCCACTTATAATGCCCCTGATATGTGGGGCCCACGCCCAGGGGGCTCCAGCAGCCCCATGATTCTGGCCTGAATGAGTCAATGCAGACCAACACTCTTCAATAATCGCCGATGTTCGGCCCCAATACTTATCTTCTTGCAATCAGCGCAGAACCTCTTGTGGGTTCTATGTGAGGTTAGGAGAGCCTAGTTTGGATAGATCCTGTCCCTAAAGTTTTGAGGCCCCTTTTTAGAGTCTTGATACAAAAGCCAAAGCGCTCTCACCTCAAACCCCGAGCATATAGCCAAGACACCTATAGGCCTACCGGTCGTTACTGCGTAGGGAATCAGGGGATCGATTCCCGTAGTAGCTTCTATACATTTCGCATTGTATAATTATTCTTATATGCCATCCAGTTCCCTACTACCCCCCCTGAGTTCTTTACCTTAACATCATCAACCCGAAGCCCGAAACAACGCAGTAGTCTCCCTTGGCCATCTTCCTTACTAGCCACCAGCAACTTCAAACGCTAATTCTCAAAATCCCGCATCCTGAATCAAGGCTTCAACGCCCTTACCTAAAACCTAAACCCTGCCACCCCTAAGTGCTAAACCCCAAAGCCCCAAACTCTAAAGCCCTAAGGGTCAAATCCCTATAGCCAACAAAGCCAAGCCTGCAGAAGTCGAAGGTTGGAACCCTCTTACTTATAGTCTCCCTTAAGTAGAAAGAATATGGGGTATATGGGGATCTTATTACTATATACCCAAAGCCATATTCTATCTACTTAAGGGGGACTATAGCCAATAGAAGAACTTTAAAACTTTTTGGGCTTCCTCTTTGGGTCTCTATAATGAAATTTAAGTTTTTTTAGCCCTGGTTATTGGGGAAGAGAGGTCTCGTATGGACCATTAACCAAGAGATCCTTATATACCTACTACATGCGCTATATGCACCCTTAAGGGTCCAAAAGGCCTAAACTTCTAACCTTTGAAGAAGGCTCCCTATATACCCTAAGCCCTACAATCTAACCCCCTGAATGAGCCCTAGTCTAAGGGGTTATATAGGAGATTCTATAGGGGAGTGTCATAGGGGTTATTAAGGGGGGGATATTAGGAGTTTAGATTATAGCTCATATCATATTCCCTTATTCCCTATTACGGACCAGTAAGAGAAGGCTGAACCTGAGCCTGCCAACCGACCGCGGCATTCTGCGAATGTTGCTGAGCCACGCCGCATGTCTCATCTGAGTCTCAGGGTTCAGGGTTTGGGGGATGACAGTTTGGGGTTTTAGGCTTTCAGGGTATTTGGTGTTCGTGGGTGCAGCTGGGCTTAGGGTTGCGATCCGCAATGGAGAATCAGGTGGAACATGGAACTGAAGGTTGGACTGGGTAGGTGTTGCATAGTATCTTCGATTGGAATATTAGACTCCCCGCTACATAGTAAGAAGACATCAGCAGACCTGTTTTGGAGTATGCCATGAGAAGTCGCACGTCTTATTTGAGAATGTTCCTACCTCAGTCACTCTTGCTATAGTATAGCATTGAGGGTTCGTAGGAATTTCGATCTCAAGGCTTTAGTCTTGGGGCTTCAGATTTCGATCCAAAAGTCCTGAGTATTTGAGTAGATAGCCTCCATTCGGTTTAAGAAGGTTAACAACAGCCAGTCACAGGCACAGGGTTTAGCATCTACTGAAGGGGCTGAATCGTGCATAGCACTATTCCGTTTCTATTTGTTTCGTACTGTTTCCTGTGTAGTGGCTGCTTGGTATGTCCTGTGCCCTCCTCCGCAGATTCGCATTCAAAATCGTCCTTACCTCGGGGACCATCTTGTCCAGGGATCCTTGGGTTCAGGTTTTTTCCTGCCGCTCCACGGGTCCTATCGCGCTTTCTGCCCAAGTATGACGAGCGTTTGTTTTGAGAAGCACAGGGGCGCTACTGGTATGAACCCAGCGTCTTGTTGGGCGCGCTGTCGCGGCTCCTTTCTATAATTGTGAGCGGGAGAAGTTTCCCTCCGTTAACTTGTATGATTACACACGTGAGGATTTCTTGAGGAATAGGTGTACTTTCCAGCTATCAGGCTTCTCATCTAGAATCTAGATGTGGCTGCCTGTATGGACTCGCTGGATGCTGGACATGGTACTTCAGATAAACTCCTGCATGAGGACCTGGAGCAGTAGATGGAGCTTGCATTCAGGGTTGAGATAGTAGGGTTTTGCTGTTCGTGCAGGGGTTACAGGTAGGATAACCCTTCTTCCTCGTGATGCGGTCTAGGGTTCAGGGGTGAAAGGGCCATTATGCCTGAAACGCCCTACTACCAGCCATGTGGGCCACTTGCTTTGCCCCGAAGGCCGAAGCACATTATTCCGACGTGCCTCACCGCTGCCTGTCGGCAACCATCCGGCTCGTTGTGCCATTCTTACGTGGAATCTCTGTGGGTATGAGCTGTAGGATTGTCGTGAGTATCGCAAACAGGACTTGCTGAGATTCTAGCAGCTAGCCAAGTCAGATCTATGCATGCATCTCCAAATATACAGAACCCTGAAACTTTCTCAATGACAGGAAGCGGAACCCCCAACAATTTTACCCGGTATCATCCGGGTTAATTCAAGGGCCTGTTTTTTCCGCGTCCACTTTTCGTCCTCATCGGGCTTCGAGTGCCACTGTGGTGCTTCTCACAAGTCATTGTCAAAAGACACATGGGATAGTTTGAATAAACATTGACTTCAAGTATAGCCACACCGACTTTTGCACATACAAAAACCACTTCATTGATTCGCAACAGTTGCGGGCATTCAGGTCGTCCATTCCGTTGCTTTATCTAACTGCTCGTAGGCTGGGAAGGGAAACCCAAGTTATAGCCATGTAATATCCTATGGTCCTTACGTTCACGACAGTGACGGCCTAGTTTGCAAGTATACTTCAAGCCGCTGAATATTCTAGTATACTATGTTCACGGAGGATTTTGAGTATGAAAAATGCTGGATTGTGAGGGGCAACCCTAAGAGGCTATTTAGGTCCGTCAGCTACCTAGGTCCTAGATTGAACCTTGTTAAGTGCTGTAAATTTTCTATACTGCCCCTTCTGCATCAGTCTGTCATCCTTGAACACAACCTACACAACCGTAAATCCTCTACCTGAAGCCCTGAACCCTGAATCTGTAAACCATAAAACCCTGAAGCCCAAGCAGCCAGGCCTTAGAACAACAAGCGTATTACGTACTGGTGGTTAGTAGGGAATAAGGGAATATAGTCTCTATATGATCCCTGTGTAGCAACTCCCTTAGTTCCTACGCTACTAGCCCTAAAGCTTAAACCCTCCATATACATGTATGCTTATATTCCCTTATCCCTACTAACCCCAAACCCTCAACCCTCTGGAACCCCGGAACCAACCGTGCCTGCTGAGGCTGATGCACGTGCCTAAACCCTCTACATACACATATATCTACATTCCCTTATTCCTTCCTAGCCCCCTAGTAAGCAAGCGTATCAGCAACCCCTCAACTCCTCAAACCTGCGCCTAGGCTTTCTCAAGCCTGGGGCTTGGCATGCTATCTATATAGTCCCCCTTAAGTAGATAGAATATGGGGTATATGGGGATCTTATGATAATATACCCAAAGCCATATTCTATCTACTTAAGGGGGACCATACCCACACGGTTTAGGATATCAGCGGCCTGAGTTTCGGGTTTAGGGTTTTACGGGTTCAGGATTTTTAAAGGCTTAGGGTTTTTAGGGCTTAGGGTTGTATGTGGATTATTATCGCTAAAATGGAGAATAAAATGGCAGATGCAAAGAAAGCTGGGACTGATGTGGTGGTAACAGGGATGATCATTTGCAGAAATCAGAGGCCGTTTTTTTGGGAATCCCCATCATGGGGATTACAGTATTGGGTTCTATACGAGGGGGACGCCTTGCCGGAAACTTCCGCATGAAACCTCAAGGAGGCGTTTGTAAAAGCACTAATCTTTATGGTGCTGAGTTTTTGGTGGTTCTCAATGAATTTGTGGGGTGGGTAGCTGGCTACAGCTTCAAACTGTCGACTCATGTGTTGATTGCATGTCGAAGCAAACTCACGCAGTGCGCTGCAGCAGGTTTGATCCAAAAACGACCAGGCGCGATTCTGGTCGCCATTCAGTTGGTTGTCATGTCATCTGGCAGCAACGTTGCCATGCTGCCGCGACACTCCTAGATCTTTGTAACACGGACCTTGATGGGATCGCTGAGAGGAGTTTTGCCCTATAAATAGACGAGTGCTTGGCATTCTGAAGCTTTCAGATTTCATTCTGCTCCATTCCAGGATCCGGGCATACCTGTTGCGAGGTCAAAGTATGTTTTTTCTCCGCCTAACCTGCCATGCTAAGACGAGGGCTTCATTTCCTGCATGGAACTTGGGGAACCCGACTCTGGGATGACTGTGGCCGCTTTGGGCTCGAGATTGGCATATTCAGTCTAGTCACGGTCGAGCACAGTCAATCAGGCAGTGGCCTGTGTACATTCTAGGAGCCTGAGATGGCCATTCTCGCTGCCTGTCTGGCTCTGCTTCTCCATGGCGTCGCGGCCGTGAACGTGACGCATCTTCGCCGCGAGTTTCTGGCGCAGGAGCGTGTTGCTGCATGCCCCGGGGACACACGAGGAGATGGCAAGTGCGACAAGGATGACACACATCGGGTCTGTGCGAAGATTGGAGTTGATGACACCTCTTTCTGGGAGTTCACCGGCCAGAGCAAGTGGTGCAACACCGACATCTATGGAGACGGCAAGATTGCTTGCCCGCCAGAGAAGCCATTCTGGTGCATCTGCAAGTGGGCAACGGCTTCATGGATCAAGGGCGAAGGTTGCAATGACAAAGTCAACTTTGACTGCGCGGCCACAGATGTATGCAACCTGAAGGCCTCCTACACAGATGGCGATGTCGAGCTGCAGCCTGCTCATGACTGCATGAAAGTCAAGTGCAAGCAGGAGTGGGATGCTTGCTGAAGAGACATAGGAGACTTCCTGAGTGCCTTGTGAAGACCTCCCGTTGGAGCTTGCAGACTTCCTTCCCACTAGCGCGCTTGTGCAAACAACAAATCTGTGCGGCTGCAACCTGCAGCAGATGTAAAGTCTGAGGAATGCGGCAGGTTTAAAGGCTGAAAGGTGTAGGCTGGAGGGTCAGGGTAGTTGCCTTAGATTCTATCAGGTTGCTTGAGGCCTCTGATTTGTGGCCCCAAAGTCTTCTAGGCCAACGGGACAAACAAACTTTGGCATCTGACCATGACCCGCCCTACATCAAACAAACACACACACACACATTGTGTCAAAAGTAAACCCTCAGAGTTTCTGACATCCTAAGGCCCTAGCATGGCCCTGGCTCTACACCCAAGAGCCTTTTCTGGGTTGCTGTTGAGAAGCGTAGTTATTCTAAGTTACTTCATGCGGATCCACTGGCAGGGTAGCTTAGATTAAGTTTCTTAACAGCAACTCAGTTTTTATCTCTTACTCTTTGTCTCCCTGGAAGTAGCTTGGAAGAAGCCTTCCGCGCCCGCACAGGCCATCTTTGGAGAAAGATACCAGGGGCTGCTGGCAGCTGCCCAGCTGTGGGACCTGCCACGACCGGGGCCTGGAGCTGTTGGTACACCAGCCCGAACTCACATGGCATACAGGGGCTAAACGACGATTACCCTTGGGCTATCTGGGGTTCCATGCCAGGGGGGGGTAGGAGTCGGTACAGGCTTGGGGTTTGGGGTTTCGCGGTCGATCGCTGAGGGCCTAGGGTTTAGGGCTACGGCTTGTCTCTGCAGTCTCCAAAGGAAGGCAAAAGCTTTCATAGACGAATTCGCGAAGAAGGAGCCAGAAAAGATCAAGTAGAGGACGCCTGAAACAGCCTTAAGGAATCGTTCGAGGTTTTTTCTGGGCTGCTTCTTTTCCAGCCCTATCATGTGTTTTTGGGGTTTGGCTTTGTCCAGAACACTGCATTGATTTGGGCAAGGGTCTCTTTTTGGGTTCAGGTGGTCCGGTCAGCCACAGAATCAAAGACTTAATTAGATAGCTACAGCGCACCGCGCACATACTACGTAACAGCTGTCTGCTTCAGGAGGACAGGTTCAGGGCTTACTGATAGTAGCCTCCTTACGAATTATTTTTAATTTCGTTATATTATAGCCTCAATCAATGATTAGCAATAGTATTTTCTTTTGTGGGTCCGAGGTGACTACAGTTTATGGTTTTGGTATGTTGGGGTAATTATTGGGTTTCGTTTGCAGACTTGTCGTTTCCCAGTCAGTGTTTGGGATGACTGTCCTTTGCGAAATTATGGTTTTGGTGAACCCCCCCACCCAGTAATAGTGACTATAAGGGATAGTGGTGATCATATTACGTAGGTCCTCTTATGTTCCTGTTATACCACTAGTACAAGGTGGGGGCCCCCCTAAGTTATAGTATGCACGGGTCTATATTTTGGCCTCATGGACTACATAATTCCTGCCAGGGACCTCAGACATGCCCCCAATACAGCCAAAACTCTGTGGGTCCTCAAGGTACGCCCATTTTGAGTTTAGGAGTTTAGGGGAAAAGGTTTTAGGGTCAAATCAGGTTTGGGATGGAGTTTAGGATTTGCATGCGATGGGGCCCTTCCCAGCCCGAATGCCCTGAGCTGCACCCTTCGTCAGACAGTTTGCCACTCGCTTGCCTGTTGTTGAGGTCAACTATGCCCCGCCGCTATCTGAAGCGAGCTACATGAACATGAAAGAGATCCTCGTCGGCAAGTAGGGCATGCTGCTTGGCGGTTTGTGCGGAGTGTGCTTGTGACAGCCCCTCGAAATGGGGAAACGCTTTTGGGAGTCCCTATTGCAAGGGTTGTTTTCTGGGTTAGATAAGGGTCCGCATATTTTGGAAAACCTCATTTCTGCAGCTACTATTTTTGTAGGTTGGGGGCATGCCCAAGTAAGATTGAAATGAGAATGCAAGGATCTGCATCTTCGCTTCATATGGGTGGCTCAGTTATCCAATACCTCACCGCGAATTCCTTGAGTTGACTCCTGTATTTTAATTAAACTCGCCTCCAGGGCCGGTGACTGTTGATTGGGACTATGCAGGTTTAGGGTATATGGCTCAGTCATCATATGGGCCACTTATCCTACACGCCATACATATGGTCCCAACATCTGAGCCATGGCCCGAAGCCCGAAACCCGAAGTTTGCACGCATGTGCCCTTAATGTGTGCCCTTAGGCTTTCTAGGTGGATTCTAGGGCCCAAAGTACCCTACACGCAAAGCCCTACGGTTCTTGACTATCAGCACCCTACTGCGCCGCTCTGAAACCGAGACCCTGCCGCGAATGGGCCCACACGGTGTGAGGGTTCAAGCAAGTCGCCATTCAAGCAGAAAGATATGAGCAGGATATTGAACAGGATCACAGCATTTCGCGGGAAGCATTTATAGTTTCCCTAGATAGGGGGACGCCAATCTAGATAGGGACTCTAAAAGGGTGCCCCTAATTTTGGGAAGTCCCCATATAGTCTATAGTCATGCTGTGATACCTACCCACCCCATGTTGGAAGATTCTGAGCCCTGTGCCTTTCTCTACCCAAGGGCAGAGAACGACCTGTTTGCTTCTCAGCACCGCGTGGTTGGTGACAGGCTATGGGTTTTGGGCTTCAGGTTTCAGAATTTAGGGTTTAGGGGTTTAGGGTTTAGGGCTTCAGGGCTTCAGGTTTCAGAATTTAGGGTTTAGGGCTTCAGGTTTCAGAATTTAGGGTCTAGGGGTTTAGGGCTTTAGGGCTTTAGGGTTTTAGGTTCGATGTTTGGGGTTTAGGGGCTCGGGTTTAAGGTTTGGTCGTGGGCCAAAGCCGGCTCTGAGTTTGTAGTGCTAGGTAGGGTTTAGGGTTTAGGGTTTAGGGTCTCCTTTTCGAAGCTGAATACCAGGAAAAAGGGTACCCTTATGATTTGGGGGTTACTGGGGAACCTAGAGTATGAGCTTTAGGGTTGAGGGGCTGGGGAGGGTGATGGTGCTGTAGACTGTAGTGCCGCTAGTATTGGTCCTTAGCATGCGCGGGTAGATCATTGAGGCTTATTCTGGGGGTATACCGGGGTATACCGAATTCTCTAGAGCATTGCATAAGGCTTGTGAGTTCATGTGTTTTTGTCCGAAAGCTTTCTTTGGGATATATCGCCTGGACGAAGCCAAACATTTTGGCAGTTGTCTTGTGCCACGCATCGGACAGAGGGGGTACTTCTAGATGTATACTGGTGGGTTTCTCCATATACCCCCTCGAGGGCGGTAGTGTTAATGGGACCCTTTCTCGGGTTCCATGTCAGTCTGGGGAGGAGTATTGTAAATCCTTCAGACTCCCAATCACCTCCAAAGTATGCCTACAGACTCCGTGTATAACTTCTTTAGACTCCCTATGCAGGCCTCCCTATATAGACCCTCTAATATCCCTACTGCAGGCGCCGTAGAGTGCCTGTATGTGAGGTCAAAGCTCGACTTGGAGCAGGCGGGGGATAAGGGTTTAGGGTTACGGAATAGCTGTGGCGTGCCGGTAACTGTGGTGGTGGTAGTAGTATTAGTAGTGGCGGTGGTATTAGTAGTAGTGATTAGTAGTGCTTATGGTAGTGGTAGTAGCAGTAGAAGCCTGAAACGTTCAGGAAGCTCATCCTGGCAGGACCTCCGTCTAGTACGGTATACGCCCCAAACTGCTATTCATGTCGCTTTGATCGCTGCTGCACAGGGGAGGCTGGTGTGAGCTTCGAGTGGAAGGGGTGCCTTTCAAGTGTTAAATTATTTGAGGGTTTCCAAATAAATGGCCCCTCTTTAGGAGTCCATAAAAATGTGGACTACTTGGAGGGTCAGTTGGACTTTGTAAGTAGGTCAATAACCCCCATAACCCATATAGTAACCCGAGTTATTCTACTGCATTAACCTACTGGCTAAGTCCCTCTGACCCTCCAAGTATAGTCTACCGAGGTTTATAATCGGGCCCTTGGTTTCAGGACCCTGAAGTCAGCTGAATTGTCCTGTGCCTGCAGAGCTCAGCAGCAGAGCTCTGTGCAAGTAAAGTGTTGACCCTAAACCCATACTATATATTCACTATACATAATTCTCCTCTTCCTTACTAACCACCAGAAACCCCGTGGCTCAAAGTTTGGGGTCCGCCTTCGAGTCCGAGTTCTCATGCTTTTCTTAGGTCCCAGGCATTTCAGGATTCTGGGCGAACCTCTCTTTGATTACGATACCAGTTCCAATATTATTACGAATTACTGTTATTACGATTACTACTATTCTTGTTATTGTTGGTATGATTACCGTTATCATTATTCTTATATTTTTGTTGTCATCTTCTCACCCAACTGAACAAGGCCTTATTCAGGCTCACGCCCTTTAATCGCCCCAAGAAGAGCCTTGCTCAAGTCATTGTTTGGACGGAGAGGTCAGGTTGCTCTTGGATGTGCCCAAAACTCAATCAGTAAAAACAGTCAGGAGCACACGAACGAACAGATGGATTATAGGTATGCGCGGCAATACCATATGAATGGCATGGGGTAGTTATTTCTGGGGCTTGGAGCTGCCAAGTCATTCTCGGTATCAAAAGCTCACATTCGTAAGCCCAATCCTTCAACTTCTGCATCCTCAGATCCCGGTTTAGGTTTTAGGGGGCTTCATGCTGGGAACCCTATCTCCATGTATGCCCTTGACCCCAAACTTCCTCAAACCTCAAGCTATAGTCGCCTCCCCACCTCAACCCTAACCCTGTTTAGGGTTTAGGGCTTAAGGACCCAAACCCCAAAAGCTAAAGCCTGACATTCCCAGACGGCGAAATTGCCCCTTTCCATCTTTCCATTCCATTTCCGGTTAATTCTCTGTCCTACTCGAACCCATAAACTCTGAATGTCCTCATGTTCCCCTATATATCCCTGTGTGTCCCCTGATTACCTCGCAAGGCGGGTGCTCTTTCCTCCAGTCCAAGGAGCAGCCCCAGAGCAAGATCGCAGGCGGTTTA